TCCCTCCTTGCTGTTTCCCTTCCTAGTCACAAGCCACCATCACAGTCATCCCTGCAGCCCTTGGTGACCAGGGCTGATCTTCAGGTCAGTTCTCAGGTCCCAACACCACTTGGAAATATTCAGGCTGTTGGTCCTATCAGAGTAGCTGACCGTACGCAGCTCCATCCGTCTCTGTACTCACTGTTTTCGTTCAGGTTTTTTCCACTAGTTGGTGCCTAATCCACTTCTGTATGGTTCCTTCCAATGCTCAGGGCTCCAGGATTATCTTCTGTATCTCTGTCAATTGGTCTTTCTTTTGTTTGTTGAAGAGGGTCTGCGTCGCCTGTCTGCCTCTTCCTCCATCTTACTGGAAATCCCCGTCTTGGCTAATTTTTAAACTTTCCATTTAAACTTTGGAATTGGTTTGTCAATATCCACAAAATAACTTGCTGGCACTTCGATTGGGATTGCATTGAATCTATAGATCAAGGTGTGAAGAACTGACATCTTAATAATATTGAGTCTTCCTCTCCACACACACACACAAAAACAGGTACATAATACATGAATGCAATAGAATGTCATGTTAAGAGCATGGGTTCTTCCTCCAGTGATGGAAAAATGCACACATACAAAATTTTTCATTGTAGCACCATTTATCATTGCAAATTATCGGAAACAACCCAAATGCTCATCTGTAGGAAAGTGACTGGATAAACTACATAATGTCCACACTGTGGAGCACTGTGCAGCTGTGTCAAACAATGAGGACAAACTCTGTGAACTACTATGGAATGATCTCCAGGTCGGAGTGTTAATAAGCAAATACCTGTCATCAGTCATCCTTTACGTAAGAGGATATGAGATAATACACAGGTATCTGTTCATTGGTATAAAAGAAACACAGGAAAGGGTGGATTACTTACAAGGGCTGGATGGGAATAGGGTGAAAAACGAAGGAATGGGGTGGTAGGGATGAAGAGGGAGTGATGCTCTCGGAGTCTTTTTATACAACTGACTGTTAGAACATTAGTCATGATTCATATTTCCTTCACACCCCCACAAAATAAACAAACGATTAAAACCAATCAGCATGCAGGAACACCCAAAATAGAATGCAAACACTAACAAATGGGCCTAACTATATGAAAGCAAACAAATGAAAAGAATATTCTGTTAAAGATGATGGAAAATTCAGGGAGCAGTTCATGGTGACAGCTGAACAACAGGACGAGAGTGTTTTAACGTCACTGAACTGTGCACGTGAAGGGGGCTGAAATGGCAAACGTCCTGTTACTTAACATTTACCACAGCAAAAATAAATAAATAAAATGAGTTGCATAACTACGCTCCATATAGTATTGTGTTGTCTGTGAAGGCAAAGATTGATATACAGGTGGATAGATGGGTGGACAGGCTGAACTATGAGGTATGCCTATGCAGCGGGGAGTGTGCCCATGACCATGTATAGGGTTGGGAGACAATGTTTCTACAAGTGTATTGGTATGTTCTGTAAGAATGTCCAGGTATATAACAGCTGACAAGGGACAAGGTTGTAGTCACTTCTTGGCCACAGCCAGCTACCTAGAGGGAGCAAGTAGTCAGACTTGTGGGCTCAGAACCATAGTCACAGGGGACATCAAGCTCAATTGGCATAACATACTACACAAAACACTGTTCCACATCCCACTTTGGCAAGTAGTGACTGGGATCTTAAAAGCTTTCAAGTGGCCATCTAGATGCAATACTGGGTCTCTCCTCATCCAGAGCAAAGAAGAATGAAGAAAACCAAAGCTGCATGGAAACAACTAGTCCAAGTGACTGGTACACCATGCGATCCTCAGCCTATATGACTATGAGACCAGAAAAACTAGATGGTGCCCGGCTACCACTGTCAACCACTCA